CGCACTCATGGAAAAACGTGTTGTTTAAAACCAGATATAATATATTGAATTTATATCATGGTAGTAATACCACTCATTAGTGTTATGGTAGTCATGCATTATTAATATGGTGCAACTTGTAATATGGTTGATATATTGAAAACAATTGCAAACCCCAAATTAAGCAAGGAGTAAAGATTTGTTAGTCTTAAAATTACAGGGCTCTGAGGTTCATTGTAATATCAGCCTTATTAGACCTTCCTTCTCTACACAACGTTCTAAGAGGGAGACAAAAAGGGAATATTAAAAACTGTATGAAAAACTAAATACCGTATTGGTTAAATTAGCAAACAGTAACAGATAAAATGAAATTAGGAATAACAAATGGATAATGTCTCCTAAGCATATGGTACCGAGATATAGACTTAAAGTACCTTTTCAGGTAGAAATCTAGTCACGAAAGAGGTACAGTACGGGCTATAGAGGTATACTGGTCTTAAGTTGCAGAATTAGAAGTATGAATTAATAGTGTGGTGAAAATATAAATATTTATATTCAAGGATAATCTACCTCATTATTCCAGGCAAAGATTTATACAATGTTACATATTGCAGGAGAAATTAACTTAAGAGCTTTTGAACTTAAGAGGACCAATACATCCAACCACATATAAGTCACAAATAATCAAGTCACTTTGGGGTCTTTAAAGACCTAAGCTAGAGTAAAGGCTAGTGTAAGATTGCCTATAAGTACTTAAAAGACTGCCAGAACATAAAATTATCTAACTGGTATAAGTGCCAGGTCATCGAGAATATATGAGCCTGATGAATTTGCTTGTAGTGGATCAGTTACAGAAGACTTACTAGATATACCACAAAGCATCATCTGCAAGCAGAAAAATGTTTGTATGATAGAGACTTCAGCTGTAAAGTCTGTAGCAGAGAACCTCTTATACTCAACCATTTCTTTCATGACTGCAAGTTACTAGATTACAGTTGGCAAACACTTCTTGGAGATTATCAAGCGACTTCAAAAATATGCGGTACTAATCCACTAGACCTACATAAACTACTTGTACAGATAGCTTTAAAAAAAACAGTTACTTCAATCAACCCTAACTAGATTTATTTAGTACATAATTTCAAAAAGTACTACTGCATACTATGTATTTTTGATATGACTACCACGAACTCCAATACTCAAGAAAGTCTCACGCCAAAAGATAGTGACAACGTGATTCTATAATAATTAAACCTTTATTTCCTTAAATAAAAGATAGTTTTTAAGGAATGTAGAGTCCTTGAAAGTTGGTTTACAAAGTAAATTTTTCCTTTATATCTCAAGATCAGTTTATATCCAAATAGTTAAAATGTTGTACAACGAATAAACCAGTGACGAAAAATCAGTCAATGTCAATTAGAGTTCTTTATTGTCAATTTAAAGCTCCACATAGTAGTGGTAACACGTATTTGTGTATATTTTTTTATTTTTAAATTAAGGACATGTTTTATATGAAATTTAAAAACTATTCTAGTTATTTTTTACCAATAATTCGCTTTTATTAGAAATTTCATGTTTCTTTAAAAAAAAACAAGTTAAAATTTTTGTGAATTTTTACATAAAATCATGTTTTAATACTAAATTGTGTATACTGTCAAGTTGCTAACAAGAAAATCAAAATCAAAATAACAAATACTAGATTACTTTAGTGTTAAACTTTTAGAATTGTTTAATGAAGAACATAATGTGATGTATACGGACTGGTACCGACTGTTGATTGGAATAACTGGTTCTTTTAATTGGCCTCCAGATTATTCAGATTTTAACCCTTGCGATTTTTATACTTGGGTAATCACCTTTGGGTAAGAATTAAAGAATCATGTAACAAAATCAGGAATAATCAAGCAATTTTTGCAACAATGAGATTTACTGCATATAATATATTTATATATTAAACATATTGTAATATTACTCATGCAGTTGTCGTCAATTTCTTTAAATCTGTCGTTTTTACAAATCATAAATAAAAAACTCCTGTTTTGTTTTGTGTGAAATAAATTAATGTAATAGAACCAGCTGTGTCATTTTTCTTAAATACGCTAAGCCATGTTGTGATTCTTGACTCAGTTACAGATTCGGGGCTCCCCGAAGTAGACCACTTGCAGTGGCAATAAATAACTTTTATTTACAGTGGCTGGATTGCCATTACCTTAAACATTGTACAAACTTTAAACATTTGAGATAATGAGGTAAAAGTGGAGTAAAAAGGAGCCAACTACAAACATTCGTACGCCTGCTCACAATATTGTTTTACTTTCATCAATCCGTTCAAAAGTAGAAAGGTCAACGAGTCCCGTTCATTATTTTAATAAATTGTTTGCACCAGATATGTATGGTCTTGTTGTTAAGAGAACTAATGCAAAACTCGCAACTTTTCGGCCAAAATATCAACAATATAAAAAAGGCAATTCCGAGTTGGCTGATACTGATGAAATATAATTGAGAGCTTTCTTGGGACTGCTTCTTTATACTTCTATTTATAAGTCAAATTATGACAAAGTCTATTTGCTACGAACGGGAAAGGACGGTCTATATTTAGAGCAGTTATGTCTCAGAAACGTTTGCTGACCCTGATGGCCGCCTTAAGGTTTGTCGATGTTTAGGACCGAGAACAAAGAGCAAGGGATAATTCAGCTGCTGCTATCCAAGAACTCTTTGACCTATTTGTAAGCAATTCAAAAAATGCATATGTAGTTGGGAAAAATGTATGTGTAGATGAAATTCTGGTAGACTTTAGAGGCAGATGTCTGTTTAAAAGGATGGCCGATGCACGAACTGGGTATTTACATAATGCATACATTTATGCTGGGAAAGGTTCAGATGGATGTAGCCTCTCAAATGAAGAAATAAGAATGAGCATACTTAACTAAGCAGTTATAAGATTTGTCAAACATCTTTACAATACTAATAGAAATATAACTGGCGACAACTGGTTTAGTTCAGTTGATTTAGTACATCATCTACAACAACATAAACTCACTTACGTCAGCACAATGTGAAGAAATAAAAAGGAAATTCCTCTACAGTTCCTTCCGTGACCTAATTGTAATGAAGCCGACACTTTGTATAGATTTAATAAAGACCTAAGACTTTTATTCCGTACAACTAAGAAAAATAAAGCTGTGATATTAATTTCTTCCGTGCATGATTCCGTAGAAGTCGATGCAGATAATGGACTACCAGAAATAAATTCTTTTTACAACTTGACCAAAGGGGGTGTGGACGCGATGGATGAAATGTGTGTAAAATATTTTGGTAGCGGCAGAAAACGTAGATGACCCATGCCTATGTTTTCTAAAATAGTAGACGTATGTGGAGTAAATTCATACATTATGATTACTTCGATTCCCGAAAATAATTGGACTAGATTCAAATTTATAGAAACCCTGGTCAAAGAACTCGTTTCCTCACATTTGCAAGGAAGATATGAAATTCCAATATTACTTATTCAGCTAAAAGAACTGATCGTAAGTATCCTTAATAATCCCGAAAATAAGGCAAACGAAGAAAAAAGCTTGAAATAAGAAAATATTGCTAAATATGTCCATCCGAATTAAGAAGGAAGACTGCATATTTATGGAAAAAATGTCAAAAATCCATATTTGATGGTTCTCGAAAAATTTGTATAAATTGTACCAGGGTAGTATAGATTTTTAACGTTTTTTTGTGATTTGCAGGTTTTGTGCAGAATTGCAATTATATTGTTTTTAATAAGTTTTTATACAAAATGTACCTATGTTTAAACATACATATATTATATTTGTTATATAATTGTATATGTGTAATTTTTTTTGGAATATGACTTTAAAAATTTTGTGTTATAAAACATATTACCATTTTTTCTGTTTTTGTTATAAGTCCTACAGATTGGTTTTTTTTTTCACTAAATAAAAATGACATAACAATATAGTTTTATTATTAAAAACTGTTAGAATAAACTGTTTTATTGCTTTATTGCATTTTTTAGGTGCCAGCTTGACAAAAGCAGCTTTTTTTAGACTTATGGTCACCATTTATGTAATTAAAAATAAGGTAATCAGTTAGGGGTTAAAGGGCAAAGCACTATATGTCATATCGACATTGAATCATGTCCTCTATCTGCTGTTTCCATTCGGCAGGAGAGCTTCTGGCCACCCTTTAACATTTACTTAAAGGTTTTGGAATGTAACCATATTATAAATAATTAAATTGGCTCTACTTTAAATTTCTGTTAAATGGATTCATAAATTTCATCCAACTCCAGACATAAAAATCCAATGGATTAAACCCATGTTTTCAATGTAGACACTGAAATTCACTTCTGCGACTGCAAGACGTGAACCACATCTTTCATCTTAGCTCTAATCAAAGATAACTTAAATTTTATTTAAATTGTAAAGTAGTGTAATTGAACACAACATCGTATCTCCTATTATACCACCACTTTAAATTAGTTTTGAAAACATTTTTTTTTTAAGTAAAATATGAATATTTTTGAACTGTGAGCATACAATTAGTCTCATTACTTATGAGTAAGTCTGTATAGTTTAATTAGGACAGTTACTTTGGACAATATTTAAATTTCTTCAATGCATGTGTCAAATATTGCAAATACTTGTACTTTTCCTGTTAATGTATCTGTACATTAAGCTTAAACCACAATTTTGTTTTGTGGTTTATTCCCAATATCATACTTGATAATTTTTTATCACAAGTAAACTTGAAATAAAAAAAAACGCAAGCAATACTTAAATCATAATATTTTTATGTTTGAAATCCACAATTGCTACTGTTCCATTATTAAAGGATTACACTGTATAAACTTTAAAAAACTGATATTTGTTAACAATTATATGAATTTTTGATCGTATTTATAATGAGAACACATATTAACGGTTATTTACAGATATTTAAGAATGATTTCATTATTAAAGGGTATATTATCACTTTCAGGCTAACATGTTCACTCGCCCGAAACTTACCTTGACCCTTTGCAGATCAATAGGATTCATAATGGTACCTTGGAAGAATTCTACAGTGGTAAAATGTCTCTTGAAAAGACCTTCCAGTTCTAGGTCTGGTGGTTTCCTGCACATTCCAAAGTTCAGCGTAAAAATCAGGCAAGTAACAGGAAGCCTAATACTTAGTATTTCGTTTAGATTTATTATTAAAGTTGTTTAAGTAAATTTAAATTTAAATGAGAGCACCATGCAGATTCGCTTACTAAGTATGTAAAACTACATTTTTTCAACTTTGCAAAATTTTGTGGTTTATTCCTTTATGGTAAGTGACGCTTGTCCTTATACTTAGCACAGTATGATCAGTCATCATTAACCTAATTCTGAAGAGCTCTCACCTACTTTGACAATAAATTGTCTGTCAGTAAACTTCACTGACTAATATCGTACACGAAAATGTTAAAATTGAAATTTCTAATCTAAAAAAGCCTACAGAAATTATTAAAGAATAGAAAAAGTCAAGGACATGATACCTTTACTTACAGAGGTGTAAACTTACTAAGCCCTGCTTTAAAACTTACAACAAATAATATAACAAATACATGAACAGTCTTTTACTTCAAATATCCCTCGATGATGAATAAAGCTTTCAGGTCAAGCAGAACTGGAGTCGGATTCGGGATAGCCGGATCAGGAACTATTACTACGGTTCGTGCGTCTGGAACGTTCGGAGTCGGATGTGGCGATGGTAACTACTGCAATGCATATAGGGGAAACTATAATACTAACTAAGAGTAGGCACAATGCAGAGTCAAACGCCAACGGTGGAAAACCTGGGAAGAATCATAAAACAGTAGATAGAGTGCATTGTAGAATGTAGTAGAATAGGTCATAGAGAGGTAAGCAGAATGCCATGCTGGTGGAGTGTATACATCGAAGACATCAGAAATAAATATATGGCCATAAAGAGAACAATATGGAGGGCGAGGGAAAGCAGGGATAAACCCTGTTGACATAGAACAGATCCAGCAAATCGAAATGGAATACCGCGCACGAAAGTGAGAACTCTATAGAAAGATTCGTATAGAACAAAGACACTGGAGAGAACTGTGTGACAAGCTTGATGAGGACGTCTTAGGTCATGGATACAGGATTACAATCAAAAAGTTTAGTTTGAGATAACAAGAGAGCTTTTTCTGTTCGGCGGATGATATGGAGCGTGGAGAGACGAGAAAGCTGGGACAGCCATAAACATAACCATGGATAAATTAATCTAGGTATTGTAAATAAATAGAGGCGGTAAAGAGACTAGTACGCGCGGTGCCTAAGTGGCTTTTGGAGTACGTGAATGCAATGCTTGAAGTACATACATTTCCTGAGGCTTGGAAAACATTAAGGTAATACGAGAGGATGCTGCGAGAAGGGGTTGACGATGCGATTAAAAGATCAGGAGGCATATCCCCGAGGCAGTTCAAATTCTGCAAGAAGAAGAGCACGATTGACGGGACAGCGCTGGATGGCTTTATTGCTCTCAGATATTAGAAATGCATTTAACATAATGCAATGGAAAGATGTAATGAAGGAATTGGAGGAGAGGGATACATGTAATCGTGGAATATCTGTCTGTAATGGCTAAAATCCTACAGGGATCGCTTTTGAGCCAGACGGTATGAAATCTGGCAGATAACGGGTCCATGAATTAAATATTGGTAAAAGCACAGGTCAAGTCGGATCTCTGATTCCAGGTAAAGTAAACGGGCAGCATGGTGAAGTACCCAAATTTGAAAGAGAAAGGGTCCTACATAAAGTTGTGCATTCAGTCGTCCTTTATGTGGCACCAGTCTGGAGTAAGGCGGTAAAGATACCAATCTACAAGGGGCTCATGATGGAGTGGAGAGAATGAGAAACTCTGTTGCGAGAAGCATTTGTCTACAGGGCTGTATCTGCAGCGGCCTTGTAGACTATCATGGATTGTATTCTTTTGGATGTGTTTCCGGAGAAGAAAGTAGTTGACTACAACCATAAGAAAAAAAAAGGAAAAGAGTTATGGAAAGATGACAGGAAGAATAGAACAATAGGAAAGATATTGCCCAGTGGACTAAGATGCTTATACCGAGCACAAGGGACTGGGTGAACTGTCGTCACAGGCGACTGGATTACTTTCTGAAGCAAGTGCTCACAGAACACGTGTGTTTTAGGGCCTATATTCATGGGTTCGGAAAGGCAGATACAGGCAAATGCTTACGCTGCGAATAATCCGACACTGATACTCACACAATGCTGGAGTGTAATAGATGGACAGTTGAGAGAAACAGTATGAACCCCGTGACTGTGAAGAAGATGATTGCCAAGATAAAGAGAAGTAAGAAGGGATGAATAGTGTACACAATTACATTCGTGCATTCACTAAGAAGAAAAAAAGAAGAAGGGAAGCAGCAGCCGGATCAATGACAGAGATAAGATGTAGATAAGAGAAGAGAGCCAGCCTTACAGCGGCTATCCCACTTTTGGAGTTCGGTACGTGTACAGTCAACTGCGCACAAGTAGGATAATAGGAAGATATTCGCTTGCAGGACCTTCTTTTAAAGGGAAATGGGCTCGGATATGCTTCTGAATCCAATACACGTCAGTAATCCCGAGTGATGGGTTAATCTGGTCGGGTTTTAAAAAAAATCCACCATTATAAGAAAACAAAAAGGTCAAAAAAGTCCTGTACGGACGTTCGACCTCAGACAAATAACACTGACAAATCATGTGAGTATATTAAATTGGTCTACAGATATTAAGTTAGCTTTGTAAAGACATTTGGCCATTTCAAAGATGTTCTTAGACCTTCTTTACAATTGACAAATAATGTATAAACATAAAATGCAAAAACCGAGCAAAAGCGATAATAAACAAGGAACTTACTTAATCTAAGCCGACTTAAAATTGGATACACTAGGGAGACGCATTGAGCGCCGTTCTATTCAATGTCATCATAGAACAAATATTAAGAAAGGTGGGTAAAATAAAATAAATACAATCAAAGAAAACAAAATTCACCAAATTCACTATGGAAACGATGCAGTGCCAGTAGCTGATATGGGATCTGCAACGACTATTTTAAAATCAATTTAATATACTAAAGAAGGTCAAGATAACAAACTAAATACTATTGTAATATCCTGTAGAATCACTACGTTTATAACGTAGTTAATTAAACTTACATTTTTTTATACATTTAAAATTAGTAGAATATATTAATAATAGGCTGCCAACTAAAGCGACTGCAAATATTTTTAATTCAATTAATAGTAACTATTTTTTAAACTATTAATTTTATTTTGTTCATTTATTTTTTAAATAAAATAAGTTGCTTATGACGTATATCCATATTTTTTGTAAATCAAATTAAAGCTAATTTTTTCTTAATATGATGATTTTATCTTTGAAACCCCGCGTTTTGAACAACTGGCAACCCTAATTTGCGACCATTATTTCTCAGACAACCTTGTATCATCCTATTGAGAAAACAATTGTTTTAGTTTGATATAAAAAGTATGCACGTACGTCATGAGCAGCGTATTTTATTTAAAAAATAAACGAACGAAACGTTTTTTGCGGCCTCTTTTTGACTGGCAAACTATTATTATACTATAATGAATTTTGCTAATTTTAAATATATGTAAAAATACAAAGCACGTGGTGGTCGTGTGTATTAAGGTATAACAAAATGCTTATTAAAAGCTTAAAACTTTTATTTTAAAGAAGATCTTTTCGGAATAAACTCATTCCATCATAAAAGACAAGTAAGTTAAAATTTAAATATATAAAAAGAACACGTTGGCTTTCTACTACTTACATAAAAAGTTGTAAAAAAAAAACATTGTATGGCCACATGAAAAAATAGTCCGTATTAAAAAACTATCCTCAAGGTGTTTATTAAGGTAAATGCAATAGACTGTTGATTTGTAGATTACTGAAAACTGAAAATGGGGGCATCTTACATGACCCCCTGTAGTTGATTGAGGTTTTATTGACTTACATTACCTCTGACCTATGCTAAGGTAATGTAAGTCAATAAAACCTCACCAACTACAGGGGGTCATGTAAGATGCCCCCATTTTCAGTTTTCAGTAATCTACAAATCAACAGTCTATTGCATTTACCTTCATAAACACCTTGAGGATAGTTTTTTTATACGGAGTTCTCTACTATTTTTTCATGTGGCCATACAATATTTTTTTTTGACAACTTTTTATGTAAGTAGTAAAAAACCAACGTGTTCTTTTTATATATTTAAATTTTAACTTACTTGTTTTTAATATTGGTATTTTTACTCTCTCTTTTAGTAAACTGATGATGGAATGAGTTTATACCGAAAAGATCTTCTTTAAAATAAAAGTTTTAAGCTTTTAATAAGCATTTTTTTTATACCTTAATACACACGACCACCACGTGCTTTGTATTCAACAGGTATACTAGCCACTCCTGGATATCTCCACTTTATGGTTTGTTTCAGTTTCACTTTTTAATATGTAAAAATGTTTATTAACAATTAAATATCTCAAGAAATTATGTTGGGCAAAATGGAAATACATATCTCTAAGCAGTTTGAGCAGCATTAATTTGCTACCAAAATAGGCAGATATCTAACCATGCTGGTTGTATGTATGGACAATAATCTTTTTAATATATTTTAAGGTATTGATACAAAATTGTGCAAAGCTTATAGTGTATGTTGCTAAATAAAGCAAATTAAAAATTATATTCTGAAATATCATTCACGAACGAAGTCTCAAAGCCCTAAATGATACCTTGACTCTTTCAAGGTCAACTGCATTCATCATGGTTCCCTGAAAAAACTCCACTGTCGTATAATGCCTTTTCAGAAGACCTTCCAATTCCAAATCTGGCTCTTTTCTAAAAATATCCTTCGATGTATTTTACACGTCACACATTGCTATATTCTGTTTATAAAATTGTTTAGAAAATATTTTCTTTAAACAAATACGCTACACCTACAATCTTACCAGGAGGATTGTGAAGCCGAGAGTATCGGTATTATTTTTATCTCATCTTCTTTCACCTCACCTCGCCAAGACAAGTTTTTGGTGTTGACTCAGTGAAAGCAAACTTCTAGGGAATGGAACTCC